GGGGATGGGGGGATGGGGGTGGGGGTGAGGGTGGAGTAGGGAGGGGAGGCAGGACATGGGACAATAAATGAGACATCTCCAACAGCAAGCATCAAAACGATATTGCCCGGTTAGTCCTTAAGACCCTGCCACACTATGACTCAGTAAGGACAGTGGTTCATACTTTTAACTCCAAAACTCTTGACAATTCCTATAACCCCATGCTGAGACAGGATGTAGAATTCCAGGCCAGCCTAGGCTACATAATGAGACCTTGTCTTAAAACAAAACAAAACAAAACAAAAACCACAACTCTGAGAGAACAGACCTGAGTGAGACAGAAAAGCATCAGGTTCAGTATTGGCTAGCCTGTGTTGTTCAGTCACCCTATAGTCATATGCAGGCAGCACTACCTTGCCTGGCTAATGAAGAGTACTCTCAAATGAAAGCAAACTTTTAAAGACAAGATATAACCGACCAATAAATGCAATGGCTTTTGAGAGGTATACTGTACTAGCAGTGTCTTGTAACTTAAGTCAAATCCTCAGTCACTGTACTTCAGAAATGGCACACCCCACTGTTTCCCCTGCACACCATCAGGTGTAGGGAGCAATCCACACTTCTGAAGAACATCATTTACTTTACTTTCTTCAGATACACTCCCCCAGGAAGTGTATCTGAAAATACTGCTTCCTGAGACTATGGTTGGGCCTTCTCGGAACCAGCAAGTACAGTTGCAGCAAAAATAAAACTAGCTCTTTGGAAAAGAACAGGGGGTTTCACACCTGTCTGTAGCAGGTGCTTCTTGAACACCTCCATCCTGTAACTGAGTGCTGAGAAACACTGTTCTCATTAGATTTCTGTCAATTTGACACAAGCTAGAGTAATTTTGGGAAGAAGAACCTCAACTGAGAAAATGACTGCAGCAGACTGGCCTGTAGGCAAGCTTGTAGGGCATTTTCTTGGTTGATGACTGATGTGGGAGGGCCCAGCCCACTGTGGGTGGGGCCACCATGGGTAGATGGCACTGGGTTCTATAAGAAAGCAGGTTGAGCAACCCATGGGGAGCAGCCAGTAAGCAACATTCTTCCATGGCCTCTGCTTCAGTTCCTGCCTCTAGGTACCTGTCTTGAGTTCCTGTCCTGACTTCCCTCAGAGTGTGACCTGAGAACTGTGAGCTGAAATAAACCTTTTCCTCCCAAAGTTGCTTTGGTCATGGTGTTTATCACAGCAATAGAAATCCTAACTACGATACACTGGTAGCCATCAAACAGAGCTCTGGAGAATCACAAAAGATGACTATGGGCAGGAAGCTCTGGGCTTCTCCCTAAGCACACAGAACCTAACAGTCACAAGATGTCCAGTGCTCAAGTCACAGCGAAGCAGCTATTGCTTTTACTTACTATTCTCACTATTTTCCATTCTATTTCACTAGTCATGTGGGGTACATTGTTTCACAAATGAAATTTTAAGATTTTTTAAAAAGATTTTACTTATTTATTTATTATGCATACAACATTCTGCTTCCATGTATATCTGCACACCACAAGAGGGCACCAGATCTCATAATGGATGGTTGTGAGCCACCCATGTGGTTGCTGGGAATTGAACTCAGGACCTCTGGAAGAGCAGTCAGTGCTCTTAACCTCTGAGCCATCTCTCCAGCCCCAAATTTTAAGATTTTGATACCAAGTATGACAAGCCATACTTGGGCGGCTGAAGCAAGAGAACAACACGATCAAAGCCAGCCTGGGGTACACAGAAAAATCTTAGGCCCTATCAAGAAGAAGTGAGAAAAAATGTTCACTTTTAATTGTAGTTGATGATGAGCCACACACAACTGTGTGATCAGATGTTGTGGCACATGTGAAACCATCTCCCACTCAGGACAATTGATCACACCATCCCTAGGCCCTCATCTGACTTTCATCCTGTCCATAGAAGCTTTCTGGCATGCTCCCTCACCATGGAGTAGTTTGCATTTTACAGAGTTGTATGTAGCTGGCTTGCACAGTATACACCTGTTTGGAGAAGAGTCTGAGTCACTGTGCCTCTTCTGTGTCCCTCTTGTGAGCAGTGCTCCACCTGTGGACAGAACAGCCCTGAAGATCCAGGTTCCTAGGGTGGACACTCACACCATTCATCCTTGCACACACACTTGCATCCTTCGGTATCTATCATGAATAAAGTTGTGCAGTCTCACAAATGAAACTGCAGCCCACAGGTAAATGAGGGTCTATAGCAGATGTGGATTCAAAGGCTGCACTGAAGAGCAAAAGGGTTGCCTTTTGAAAGTTGTCACTTGCCCAGTGTGCATAAGCCATTCACTACTCCCAGCAGCAGCAGCAGCAGCAGCAGCAGCAGCAGCAGCAGCAGCAGCACACAGAACCCCGGTCTTAACAAATCAAGTGTGGCCAGCCTTCCTCATGTCAGCCTTTCCCATAGGCAAGAACTTTCCCATAGTGCTTTAACACCGTGCCCCAGCCATGAGGCTGCTGGCACACCTTGCCACACATGCTCACTACCAGCCATGCCTCTTTCTTGGTACTCTGTCCAAATCTTTTGCCAGTTTATCTTTTCTCTTTCTTTCTTCCTTTCTCTCTTTCGTTCCCCCCTTTTTTGTTGTCCACTCTCTCTGTAGACCAAGCTGGCCTCAAACTCACAGAGATCCACCTATTTCTGACTCCCAAGAACTGGGATTAAAGGTGTGTGCCACCACCACCTGGCTCTGTCTCTATTTTCTTCTGGAAGCTTTAGAGCTTCTGACTCCCAGTCAGGTCTCTGATCATTTCTGATTTAACGCCTGTGAGGGAGGTCTAGGGTGGGTTTCTGTTCCAAGGCAGCCTGTCTTTCTTGAGCCTCTGTCCCCTATGAAGCCTACCAGTTCAGCCCTCTGGGCACAAAGCATTTCTGTGGTCTTGTGGCACTGGTGAGTCACTGGAAAAGCACCAAGCAAGTCTGCTCCATTACAGACACACTGCACCTCTGGGACCTCTGCTGCTGTGTCCTCAGCACACAGTAACAACTATTCCTCCCCTCTCTGGTAAGAGTTCCTCCTTCCACAAGAGGTCAGGCAATTATATCACCAACATTCACCTCTATGTGGAAAAGCTGTAGGCAGCTCTGGGGACTATGTCACCAAAGCCCCGATTTTCTTGCCACAGCACCTGCACTGAGGACTAGAGGGATCCAAGTTCACTGCAGCAGACTGGCAGAAGCAAAGCTGGCTCCCAACATCCTGGGAGCACATTATCTCTACAAACAGTCCCCACTGGGCTGAGAACATCCCTCTCAGATATACTAGAACAAGAGAGAAAGGAGTGACCTGTGAACACACCCTCAAATACCATGAGACACCCATGCTTCCAGGTGTGTAGATGGCTACCGCACATGTCCAGGGTCTTGTAGAACTTGCTGCCCACACTATCTTGAGCACTGGGGCTTGGTGGGTCCATGGTTCTCCAGTGTTACCATCAGTCAACAACCTCCAGAACACAGGAGAACAGAGTCTCCCTGTGTTCAGAAAAGACCCCACCTGCGGTACAAAGGGTTCTCATCACACAGCACCTCCTGAAAAATAGCTCTGGCTCACATATAGGGCTAAACAAGTCTCTTCTGAATGTGCTTCCCAGTATGCCAGGGCAAATTCCCATCATCTGTGCATGTCTGAAGACAGAGTCTGAGAAATATCTAACCTGCCATGCCAGATGTGTAACAGAACTTTGATACAAGCTGGCAAATACACTTCCCAGTTTCCTTTGCAGATAAGCAATACCAAGAAACTGAATGCTTGTCAACAAAATCCAAGTGGAAGCTCTTCCAGCTGCCGTGAGCATGTCCCTCCTCTCTAGTTTGCATTCTGCCCACCATCAAGTGAGTGCTAGAGCCCTAGCTGCCATCTTGGACCACAAGGTCAAAGACTATTATCTTGAGGATATGCACACAGTAAAAGCTAGAATTAGCCAGGACTGAGTTCTGATGGAGGCCTAGGACTGCCTCCCTGAACACCATAATGGGGAATAAAGGGAACTTTTGAGCTGTCTAAGCCTTTGTAATGACAGGCCTCTCTCACACAAGACAGCCCTTTCTTCATGGTGCATCGGTTTGGAGCACATTCCCCTGTATAGAACAAGTTGCCATGGCCGTGAAGCCAGCAGGTGTATGTTTCATCTAGGGGTACTTAGGGTCCTAGACTGCCCAGCGTCATAGCCTGGATTTCACTCTCTTCAGAGCCAGGGTGAATGCAACCATGTCCCTCCTCCCCCAGAGAAGAAGGCCACAAACAGGTTCAGCCACTGTCTTAGTTACAAGTGACAAGGACTGAATTGATGTTTGTTAGAGCTTAGCTTTTCCCTGAGAAGGTGGCTGTCCCCCAATACCCTAGCCCACCCCAAAGACACCTGCCCTTGCCAGGCTAGAGGTCCATCTTACTCAACACCATTGCTCTGCAAAAAGCACAGCTTTTATTCCTGTACATAAAGTGGCTACTTGTGACAAATATACCCCTCAATACCTCCAAGGCGAGGGAAAAAACAGCATCTTACCTCAAAGGAACACTCAACACTTCTGTCATTTTTCGTGTGTGATAATCCCTTCAGGTCTATTTTTTCAACACTCACTGTAAAAACAAACAAAATTATGAGAAGGCAGTAAGACTTCGAGATACAAATGATTGCTGGGCATGTGGTAAGTAGGTACTCCATACAAGACTGCCAGAACCAATACCCTAGTAGCACCTGCACCAGCCTCAGCTGGTATTGGCATCTTGGAAGACTAATGGAATCTCAGATACCAACCAAATCCCAAGAAAGGGAATGTAGGGATCTTGAATGGGACAGCACATTTGTGAGCCCTTGTAATGTCCTTCAAGACAGTAAAAAACTGGGTCTAATTCCTGGGAAACTCATGATCATGTCTCCCATGGTGAATGATTTGCATGAGAAGGAGCCTGGCACATTCTTGGGGGGGGGGATCTTCCCGCAGACCTGTACACTACTGCTCAGAAATGAAATGACACCATTACACTATAAGCACTGTTTCTAGGCAAGCCCAAACATGTGCTCACAATCAAGCTCTCTATCTGGACACACACATCCTCCCTCAGATGACAGTGCTGCCATCTAGAGACTCAGCTGCTTCTTTCAGGCAGTCATTTTCCACAGGCATGAGAGTCACAGAACTCACTGCATTAAGCAACTGGGGAAGACCACAGCTGAGGAGAACTGCTATGTTGGTTGAGCTTCCAGAATTCTAGGAAGCCACCTCCATATCCTGCAGAACTTTCCGCACACTCTGAACCCTAATAATGGATGGTGACATACTCACTAGGCTTTACAGTCCCTGCAGGTACACTCTTCTGGTCAGCAAAGCCAGAGCCTTCCAGAATGCCAGTCCTTTGAGATGTTGAGGGACAACCCAGAAGTTTTATAGACAAAAGATCTAGAGGAGAAAAAAACCCTCAGCAATGGCAACCTGCTTTGAGGCTGCACTGTGAGGTTCCTATACCTGTGATGCTCCATGCGGGAGTCACTAACTGTGGTGTTCGTTTAAATATATTAAAATGAATTAACTCTGGTCAAGATACTGAACAGACACATGTGTGGAGCCACTACTCTGGATGGTGAAGAATGGACATCTCCCGTATTCAAGTGTCTTTTGTTAGTGCTGTCTGAACTGACTAGCATACAGACCACACCTCCTCCTCCCATTTGTGTGAGCAGCTTTCTTGGCACATGGCTATAAAATTTGCTCTGGTACCACTGACAGCTGCTCTCCACCCACTACAGTGAAGCTGGGCTCAAGAGCAGAGAAAGACACTACATTAGGACCCCGCTGTTGATGCTGTACCATACCACAGCAGAGCACTCAGCCCTAGCATGTGCCAGCTGCAGGAGAAATGGAGGCAGATTAGGAACCCACTACAAGATGTGCCATCATCTTGATAGCTATTGTGGCACCCTTGCCACTCCAGCTAGAAGCCAGCAGGAAGCAACCCTTCTGCACAGACTACTCCACTCAGTGACACCATTCTAGACCACCCTCCATCTCTAAGCAACAGACTGTAGGACCAGTTCCTGCCCTGCCCAGAGAATCAATCTGTACCCAGTGTTCAGAGTATATGAGAAAGGAAAAAAGAAAAAACCCATTTGGACAAAGGGAAGTGACTCAGAGCTTGACAGAAAAATGGTCCAAGTAGATAAATATCATTTAGCTGTTTGCATATAAAAGCATTTTAGAGCCAGGACAAGTACTCACAGCTAGCCCACTGCCCATGAAATATGTTTTAAACCTAATGCAGATCTCACTGCCTTAATGCTGTCAGCCTCAGTACCCAATGGATTGTAGGCTCTTCTTCCAGGACCCTGATGCCAGGGCAGAGCAGTGACTTAGCAGGTAGGGGTTAAATCTGAATCAAGCCCAATGGCCAGATTCAATCCCCCAGGAGTGATGGAGAGAACCAACTCTGACTTTGATGGATGTGCCATGTCACAATACATGTAATAGATAGATAGATAGATAGATAGATAGATGTAATAAAGATATGTTTAAAACACCATGTTTCAGTATAGTCTCCTACTTGGAGTCACATGATTACAGGAACTGCATTGGCTTGTTGGAAGAATGCATCATTCATATATATATATATATATATATATATATATATATATATATTATATGGTTCCAGAGTTCCAGCCTCAACACCACAAAGGCAAAACAAAACTCACACAACTAAACAGAGTTGAATGGTGTGTGGGATGCCAGAGGCCAGGCATCTCCTCTGAGCACACCATGCATTGGGAGAATCTCAACTCTCAAGCAACTGCTGGGTTTTCGGGAACTGGGAATTATGACTCTCACACCAATGACACCTTATACCTGCAGCTGGCTGGAGCAGCAACGAGTGGGTGCTGGCAACCCCCTCCTTTGGACAGGATAGTCAGAGACATTCAAACACAATGGGTGCTGCAGCTTTGTAGCTGCCTTTAGGGCAGAACCTTGCCAGGACCCTGTCCCCTGGTCTCCCTGCCCACACTCCAAGGGCTACAGTGTAGGGCAGTTGGTACCTTGGAAGTTTCATCAGCAACAGGGAACACTTTCTCAAACTTTCCTTCTTTTTTTAAGATTTATATATTTCTATTTATTTATTTTGGTACACAGTCTGGCTATGTAGGCCTGGCTACCCTGGAGAAATTTGTTTCCTTTATTTTTATTTTTATTCTATATGTATAAATGCCAAGATGTGAACTGACTTTTCCTGGCTATGACTGTTTCATCATCTTTCCCTTACTGCTTCATTCTCTCTGATGGCCACTGCTGCTCCAGGAATGACAAGGGGTAGGCTTTAACAGGGCACCAGACAACAGTTTCTCAAAGGATTCTTCTAATACTTTAATATCAAGACAGGTGCTGGGTGCAGGCCCAGGGATCACATCAACCCAGGAATACATGCTGACCATGATCAAAACTAGTCTCAACATGTCAGGAGGCTTCTGGGACAGTGGTTTGTGTAGTCTGTCTGTTTTTTAAAATTTTATGTATATTGGTATTTTGTCTACATGTGTATCTGTGTGAGTGCATCGGATTCCTTGGACTTGGAGTTACAGACAACTGTGAGCTGTCATGTGGGTGCTGGGACTCAGACCCAGGCCCTCTGGAGGAGCAGCCAGTACTCTGAGCCATCTTTCCAGGCCAAGTGTAACCTGTTTTGATGCCTGGCTTCAAAATAAGCCTAATTAAGTAATGACAGCTACAGGAAAGCATTTCCAAGGGTTATTCATACTTACTAATGCTGTTCAGAAACTGGGCTATGTAAATATATTCAAGAATTACAATTTCAATCAAGGAAGCCATTTTTGTCTCCTGCATAATACACAGCTTGGATTTCACCCCACAGAATGTTTTTAACACTTTGGGGCAAAACTTACACAGAGAAAATGCAGTATCTTAAGTCCAAAGCCAGTCAGTCAGGGTGAATATGGACCCTTGGGTCATCAGTCCTTGAGTCAGGATAGGAATGAGCTGGCTGGTGCACTGGCACCTGAAGGCTGAAGCAGGGGATACAGATGTACACACCCCTCTGTTCTGTACAGTGTCTTGATCCTTGACCAACTTCTGACCAAAAGATAGCTACCTCCTGTAATTATTGGTAAGGTTTGAACACTGGCTTCCAATGCTGTTCCTTTCCTGTATCTTTCTGGGGTACATTGCAGTGTGGGGGTTCTTATGATTTCACATCTCTGCACTAAACTGTGTGTTCTACAGAAATGAAGCTGACAGCAGGTAATCAAGAGAATCATGTGAAGGGCTAGCATCGTGCTGCCTGGATTGTACTCAGTACTAACCCTAACCCTAACCCTAACCCTAACCCTAACCCTAACAATAACCCAACCCTAACCCTAACCCAACTAGCCACAGTTGATGTACATCAGGGTCCAGGGCAGGATGCTGCAGTTGTTCTCAAGAAGCATGAGACTAATGTCAGATGAGACAAGACCAGGGCCAGGGAAAAGACAGAAGAATACAGGCCACAACCATGATAGCATGTGAAGGAATTCTGAGTTCTCCTATAGGTTTTAGGGTGAGCTCACAGCTCTGCTCAGACGGCCTGCTGGTGGTATAAGGCTTGCTGCTCATAGCATTGGCAGTTACTGGGTCCCTGTAAGCCTCATATACTCACCTCGACAAAGAAACCCTAGTTCAGCTTCAAGGGACTACAGCACAGCAGACCAATGCATACAGCACTGGGGCTTGGGATGCTGCAGGGCTGTGAGCTAGGACAATGGTCCTTGCTTAGAGGACAAAACCAGAGGGGCAGGAATGGAGGCAAAAGAGCCTAGAATGATTGATGAAGATGCAGAAACAAAAAGAAACTGAGTCCCACAGGTCTAGGCCTGCCAGGTTCACAAGGCTAGAACCAGCATGTAAAAAACAAGATGCCTGACACTCCCTTTTTTCTTGACATTTCTTTCAGATTTTTTAAATTTTATGTGTATGATTGTTTTGCCTGTATGTATGTATGTATACCACATGTGTGCCTGGTGCCTGTGGAAGTCAGAAGAAGGCACAGAACCTTCCAGGACTAGAGTTATAGTTGGTTTTAAGCCAAAATACAGGTGCTGAAAATAAAAATCTGATTCTAAGTGGTGGTTTGAATGAGAATGTCCTCCATTGTCTGGGGTACTTGGTCCCCAGTTGACGGCATTATTTGGGGAGGTGTAGAATGTGTGGCCTTGTTGGAGGAAGTATGTCATTGGAGGTGGGCTTTAAATTTTGTTGTTTTGTTTTGTTGGTGGTAGTTTCAAGACAGGGTTTCTCTTTGTGGCCCTAGCTGTCCTGGAACTTCCTTTGTAGACCAGGCTGGCCTCAAATTCACAGAGATCAGCCTGCCTCTGCCTCTGCCTCTTAAGTGCTGGGATTAAAGGCACGCACCACCACCATCCAGTAGACTTTAAGAGTTTAAAAGACTTGTGCCATTTCCAGTTTTCTGTCTCTGTTTTGTGCTTGTGGTTCAAAAATGTGAGCTTTCAGCATGCTGCTCTACCCACCATGCCTGTATACTGCTGCTAACCTAACATTATGAACTCTAACTCTCTGGAACCTTATGTCAAAATAAAGTTTCTTCTATGAGTTGCTTCAGTCATTGTGTTTTACTGGAGCAACAGAAAAGTATGTAAGGGGGACTGAAGAGATGGCTCAGCAGTGGTAAACATTGCTTTTCTTTCAGAGGATCTGGGTTCAGTTAGCAACACCCATATGGCAGCTCACAATGGTCCAGTTCCAGGGGGGATCTGATGCCCTCTTATAATTTCTGTGGATACCAGACACCACATGGCACATATATACTCATGCCCACAAATACTCATAAAAAGTAAGAAGGAGTGGGACCAGCCAGGAGGTGGTGGCACACACCTTTAACCCCAGCACTCAGCAGGCAGAGGCAGGCAGATCTCTGAGTTCAAGACCAGCCTGATCTACAGAGTAAGTTCCAGGACAGTGAGGGTTACACAGAGAAACCCTGTCTTGAAAAACAAAACAAGCAAGCAAACAAACAACAAAAGGGAAAATAAAAAGATAAAAGAAGAAAAGAAAGCTTGGGAACATCTCTAGAAATGCTCACTGTGAGATATTTTACCTTCCCAGAATTCCCACCCCTTATAGTAGTCCCTATAAGCCACCATGGGGTGTGTTTGCCTGGGTCTGCTCACCTTCCTGGGTCCTGACTTAGAAAGGTATAATTACTTCTTTTTCTTTCAGATGGCCAGGGCCTAACTATGTGCTTAAACTTCCTAACTAATGTTTTAGGCTTCTGTGCTCTTTTCCTAAAGTGCCCTCTGAGTGGCTGCCTGCTGCTATATGGCTGCCCTCCATGCTAGCTTATTGACTCTATTGTCCTCCAAGCATTTGTGAGATCTGTAGCTTGCCTGCCTTGGGCTTTCCTTTCAGGTGTTAGTAAATTGTCTTCAAGCTTCCCATCTGTGCCCTTTCTTAAATTATTTTATTAATGAGACCAAGAGCACTAAGAGAGGACCCAAGATCCCTGGTATTGTACAGAGGCTCTGCTGGGACTCCTGGGTTCCAGCCTTCATTATCGAGATATCTGCTTTTTATCTTACTGTCACTGCTAATAGAATTTGCCTTTGCAAACTTTTCCTAACCTTTAATTCTGTGCTCAGTGGAGAAAACAGACCATGTCTGCACCCCTAATTACCATCAGTACCAGAACAATCAATCTGCTGGGTGTGTTAGCCAAACCTTAATCCCAGCATCAGGGAGGTAGGGACAGGGGCATTACAGGTCCAGAGCCATCATCAGCTATGGAGTTCAGTTTGAAGCCAGCCTGGGCTATGGGACATTCCATCTCAACAAAGCAAAGCAAAAACAACCACAAAAAAGAGAAACACATTATTTGACTTAAGAACATCTAGTGGGGACTGGAGAGATTGCTTAGCAGTTAAGAGTGCTGGCTGCTCTTCCAGAGGTCCTGAGTTCAATCCCCAGCAACCACATGGTTGCTCACAACCATCTGTAATGATCTGGTGCCCTGTTTTGGTCTACAGGCATATATGTAGACAGAAGACCATATAAATAATAAAATAAATCTTAAAAAAAAGAACATCAAGTGGACAATAGGCTGGGAATAAATAAGAAGAGGGGACAAATCTATAGAGCAAAGAAAAGTGTCCTGCCTAAGAGGAGGGAATGAAGGTGAATGGTATACATGGCTTACAGGATCTGACATGGTGAGGGAATCGCACACACAGTCCCTGGAGTGCCACCTGGAAAGGAGGAGGAGTGAATTCGTAACAGCAGGAAATCCTCTAGACTTGGTACAGGAAGTAAAAGAGCTATATGAAAAACCACATATAGGAACATTGTAGTCAGATGAATCCCAACTAAAGAAAACTGTAAAAACAACCAGAGAAAAATGGCACTGACATAAAGACAGCCAATCACACACTGCTGAAGACTCTCATTAAAGGAGGCCAGCAGACAGAACACCATTGACAAAACTATAGAACAAAACCAACCCAGCCAAGCATTACATGATCAGAAAGAATTGATGTCACAGGGAGCTACATCTTCAGGCTAATGAAAATGGGCAGAGTCCACACCCGCAGAGCTTCACAAAATCAACTGGGAGCACCAGCTTTCGGGAAGAAAACGGGCAGCCAGGGGGTAAACACAGAGCATTCAAAGACCATCCTTTCCTCTCCTCAAAATATATGCAAAACCTTAAGGTTCTATCATGGGGGCACAAGGCACACAATACAAAGGGCACATGGAGAACTATGCCAACACTGTAAGTACCCTTATCCGCAGCACCGGCCACTTCCAGAGGTGTAAACACTATTACCAAGAGACATCTGAAAGTTCAGCACTACTCTCAAGAGTCAGTGTGTACACACAGTTGCGAGTCTTAGATTTTCGCTTTTTAAAATTTACTTAATTTTATGTGCATGAAATGTTTTGTCTGCATGCACATATGTATATCACATGTATGCCTGATGCTCACAGATGTCAGAAGAGAGCAGTGGAATCCCTGGAATTGGTGTTAGGATGGTCCTGAGTCATCATTTGGAATCAAACCCAGGTCCTCCTCAAGAGCAGCCTGTGCTCTAGGCTGCTGAGCCATCTCTCTAGCCCAGGTTCTTACATTTTATCTAAAGTGGTCAGATATTAGCTCAAAGTAGAGTCTGAAAAGCGAAAGGTGCATGGTACGCTTCCTCCGACTGACCCACTGCCTACAGAAACTCTGTGAGAGGAATGTCTTTCAATCCCAAATCCCCAGCCTCATTTTCTTTTAGGAAACTGAGGAAGCAGTCACTTGGATAGTTTTTTGTGTCCTGTGGTTCAAAGGAGAGCTGCTGAGGAAACCTGCGAGCAGCCTGCTTAGAAATGGGGACAGCACTGACCTAATACGCAACATGTGCAAGGTCCCAGGGCTGGTTTCCAGCACTGCAAAATAGTAACAATGACAATGACAAATTAAAACCCAAAAAGTACAGTAATAAGTAAAGTAAAATAAAACTGTGTGATTCGGGCACTCACTGCAAAACCCTGAACTCTGCTGTCTGTCCTCACGGTGAGAACCAAATGCAAAACCATGAACTAAGGCTTCTTATTCCTGCCACACTGTGATCCCAGTGCATCTCTGAAGAGGTAATACACAGTTTTGGTTTCAGGAGTTAGTTTTTATCTTCAATTCCTGTCTTGTTAAAATTCATGCTCATATTTTGAGTTTCTTTTTTATTAAAATCCCAAGAGCAAGCTGGGCGTGGTGGCACATATCTTTAATCCCAGCATTCAACAGGCAGAGTCAGGCCGATCTCCCTGAATTTGAGGCCAGTCTGGTCTACAATGAGAGTTCCAGGACAGCCAGGGCTACACAGAGAAACCTTGTCTTGGAAAACAAAAAACCAAACAAGAAAAGTCCAAGACTTTTCGAGGTTCAGTTTTCGAACTCACAGAGATCCGCCTGCCTCTGCTTCCCAAGTGCTGGGATTAAAGGTGAGCGCCACCACTGCCCAGCTTCTTTGTTTTAATTTCTGTAGCTTTGGACCCTGCCCTAGAACTCATGCTGTAGACCAAGGCTGGCCTTGAACTCACAGAGGTCTATCCCCCTGCCTCTGCCTCCAAGTGCTGCCTGGCTTCAAGGTCAGTCTTTAAGCTGCTCTTCATCATGATAATATTATGTAACAAAGCCATGAGCCTCAGTGGTGCAGAACCAAAACAATGCTCAGGCTGAAATATTCCACTTTGTCTGATGGTGTAAAGTTGCCATAGATATGATATACTTTGTAAACATAAATTCCTTCAAGTCCATCTTTTTTTTTGTTTTTTTTTTTTTTTGTTTTTTGAGACAGGGTTTCTCTGTGGCTTTGGAGGCTGTCCTGGAACTAGCTCTTGTAGACCAGGCTGGTCTCGAACTCACAGAGATCCTCCTGTCTCTGCTGGGATTAAAGGCGTGCACCACCAACGCACGGCTCAAGTCCATCATTTTTAAGAGTACAAAGAAACTGAGTTCACGGCACAGACATACAATGCAGGCAAAACACTGTGTCACGGTCTCAAGATACAGATGTGGCACAGAAGCAGACCACCCTGAGCTGAACCAAACAGAGAAGACAGCACTCCACGTAGAGTGAGCACAGGCCTTTAAAGCAACAGCATGGAACGTACGTGTGAGATAAAAAGCTGATGCTTAGGGCACAAGAGATAGAGAAGGGCAGAAGGACCAGCTCAAGTTACAGAAGGCACAGATACATCTGTGAGTAGTGAAGCAGAGCAACTCATGAGTAGGGAGCCTCAAGGTACATGACCAGTCAGGACAGACGTACCTCTGCTAAGACTTGGTCCTACCAATAACCACATCCAATTTAAAACAATCACTATGCCTGCCCAGGTACTTCCAGAGTCAGTCTGGCAGGAAGACAGGAGGCCCACAACCTGTGGTGAGAGGTTTCATCAGCTGCAGATCCACACTGAGCAAACCCACACTCCAATTACATTTTAAAAAATTGTGCTTGTGCCAGGCAGTGGTGGTGTACACCCTTAATCCATCACTAGGAAGCAGAGACAGGAGGATGTATGTGAGTTCAAGACCAGCCTGGTCAACAAAGCGAGTTCCAGGACAAGCTCCAAAGTTACAGAGAAACCCTGTCTCAAAGGTGGGGGGATGGGGGGTGGGGGCTGGAGAGATGGCTCAGTGGTTATGAGCACTGGCTGCTCTTCCAGAGGTCCTGAGTTTCATTCCCAGCAATCACATGGTGGCTCACAACCATCTACAATAGGATCTGATGCCCTTTTCTGAAATGCGGAACACTCATACATGAAATAATAAATAAGTAAATGCCACTTAGTCAGTGGCATGAGCAGTGTGGAACTTCACTGAGGCTGGTAGCACTGAGTGAGTGAAGACAGGAGTACCTGTTACCACATCACATGGAATAAATCCCAGGAGCCCATTTAGTTGGGAAATAAGTGTGCTACAGCCCAGCTGCTTAGGCTTTGTTCTGATGTGAGGAGCAGAGGATGTTTAAAACTTTCTTTCCCTCCCCTAGTAAACACCAGCATTTGAAGCTGATATTGCTGAAACATGGTCTTGAGTTCCTTGGGAGAATCAGAAAGACAACAGGACCCTCTAAAGCATGCCTGACTGAAGTGACTCTGGCCAGCTCAAGTATGGCAGGTCTTGCCTTTCTCCCTGATTCCCTCTGCCTTGCTGAAAAACCATTAGATTACATTCCTAAAGCTAGCCACCAAGGTCTATTCCCTTATTTGGCCTCTTCCTCCTCCTAAGGTGACTACCAAGATGCAGCTATCAAAATATAAAGGTCCAGCAATCAAAAGACTCCTTTGACTCACCTAATTAACATGCCAAATTAAAATTAAACACTTCATTCTAACATGGTTTCCCCTTTGTACTTTTATAAACTGCCATTTTCCTATGGATCATGTCTGCCTCCTCTATCCAGAGGCAGTCCTTTGTCCCTCCAGGACAAACACCCCTTTCCCTTTTCCCTGATTACCTTCTCTTCTCTCTCATCCTGTTTCCCATCTTTGTCTCTTATTCCCTGCCCTCTGTACCTCTGGGGCAAATAAATCTCCTTTGTGCAGCAAGAACTTGGTCTTGGGGGTCCTGAGGTAATACTAAGTCTCAACAGTCCACAGCTCTGTACTGTGGATGCCTTCTCCCTTAACCTGGGATATCCCACTAATGTCCAGCATAACTACCCACCTTTGCCGTGTTTTCCCAAAGGCCTCTTGGGCAGGGACTCCTCCGTGGAATGTGCTGATGTGTGCAATGCATTCTCCAGACTGTTGCTGATGCTGCTCACAGGGGTCTCAGTTCTGGGTGCCATCTGAGGAGACAGAATATCATCTTCTTATTTTTTTCTGCACAACTGCCTCTTGTCGAGAGTTATTCACACAAATGTGGCTTCGAGTTTTCCTACCATAACACAATGTTCTTCCAGAGAAAGATGAAACACCACTATCCACTATGCTCCCCAAACCCACCAACAGTCCTGGGCTTCTGTCTAGGTTAGGTCATCAGACAGCACAGCAATCTTAGCCATGGTGGCATGCATCATATGCCTTCAACTGAGGCAAAACCCTGTTTTTACATTTTGCAATTAAATGCTTTCCTATAACAAATTCCACAGAGCTCTGGAAGCCACAGAAAAACAGCACAGGACATCTGACCAGGTACAATTTGAACAACACGAAGTAGTAACTCCACTTCTAGGGATTGTTGTGTAACACCTTCCTCCAAGATTGAAACATTATATCCTGCAGGGAAGCTCCTTGAGCAAGAAGGTAAACAACTCATGATAGCTCCAGAAGTCCCTGAAACTGATTAGATTTACTATGACCTTCCCTGCTAGAAGGAAAAAATAAAAGCTGATAGTCCATTCAGATGGAAGGTAGTGAGCAACTGGAACCGAGCTGCCAAGATGATGGAAGAGAAGCTGAGCTGCAAAATTAACTCAGAGAACAGCTGCCAAGAAGACTCTGAGACCAGGACAGCTGAAAAGCTGCCTAGAAGAAGCAGAAACCAGCTGAGCAGTGTGGAAGAGGTTTAGACCACTTAGGCATCTGGAATGGGCACTCTCCAACCTGTTGATGGGTCTGCTGGTGTACAATGTGCTCCAGGTTCCGGGCTTTGTGAGCTGTCACCCATGCTGGGGTGAGCCTTAGGCATACAGCTGTCTTTGAGTCATTTCTGCTCCTATAAGTAACCCCTTGTCATAGTCATGTAAGTAACCCCAATAAAACTCACTGGTTCAGCAAGATTCCCCATCTAGGGTGAGTAACTGTGTGTTGTTGCATCTCCCTAAGAAAAGTTTTGTCACACAAAAGGATTCACCATATTAAGTTTTCACACAGGAATAGACCTGACACTGAAAACTTCATTATCTAGAGACAGGGACCTGCCAATATAAATCATGGGACACTGAAGCTAGACCGTGACACAGCCATCCTCTTCCCTGTGACACAGCCATCCTCTGCCCTGGCTGGGTGAAGGAGAAGATTCTTACTGTATACACACACAGAACTGGGCCCACAAGCCCTGGACAGCTGTCTGGCCCTTGGGAAGGGAGTGGACTGCAGTATCCTCCATTTCCCTCCTTATCAGTATTGGAAAAATTTACAGCCCAAATAGACTAGATATAAAATAAAAAATAGCAATGCTTTCACTTCAGTCATATCTTAAGATTTCAAATATTAGAAAAGGTTCAAGATTTTAAAATTTAGGAAAAGACTTGTGAGTTCCATGACTGAACAGCCTGTTGTATGTACCATGGGAACAGGAAGTTGAGGAACTAGCAGCAAGTCTTTTAACTCGAGCAGTGAACACTTGGGACATGCCTGCTCCTGATATCCCAGCCCTGTGCCTGTGGCTTCCCATTGTTACCTGCCTGGTGGTGGCACGTGTCACTTGGTTGTTCAGAGGCCAGGCTCAGAGCCTAGGCTCTGAGGTAGACAGAGGAAGCTGAATGAAGGCAGAGACCACCATACAGTTTGTCAGAGCCACTCAGTAGAAGCCTGGCCAAACTGGGGGCAATCAAGAAAGCTTACTCTGAGCTGGCATGGTGGTGTATGCTTTTAATCTCAGTACTTGGGAGGCAGAGGATGGTGGATCTCTCTGAGTTACAGACCAGCCTAGCCTTCATAGTGATTTCCAGGCCAGCCAGAGCTACACAGAGAGCCCCTGACTCAACAATAACAAAAGGCTTACTCTGCATCCCAGGATCCAGTAGAGGACAGCAGATGCCTATAAGCAGTGTGCCACCAGCCAGTTTCTACGGACTTTAACAGAACTCAAGAAAACAAGTCCTAGCCATTCAGTCACTTTAGAAAGACAATTCACTGTGGCTAACATTACCAAAAAGTTATCAAGAAAGCTAAATTTGGGTCTGGAGTTGTTGGTAGAGTACTTGCCTAGCATACATGAATTCCTAGGTTTGATCCCCAGGCTTGATGTTTCATACCTGTAATCCTAGCACCCAGAAGGTAGAGGCAGAAGGATAAAAAAGTTCAGGGTTTTCCTAGGCTATACAGCAAGTTCAATGCTAACCTGGGCTGCATGAAATTCTGTCTCAGGAAGGAAGGGAGGTCAATGAAGAGGGCTGGGTAAAATGGCTCAGTAGATGAAAACATTTGACTTGCAAGCCTGAGTTCAATCCCTGAAAACAAAGTAAAAAAGTAGAACAATTCCATAGGGTTGTCTTCTGGTTTCCATATGCAGACTGGCATGGAGATATGTACCTCCATCATGCATATACACATAGTAATAATAAAATATAGGAGACATGAAAGAATGTTAAATTATAAACCTGGTATTTCACATTTGCCTATAATCCCTGTACTTGGAAGTCAAAACAGAAGGATCCTGATTTCCAAACCAAACTGGACTAAACAGCAGGCTGCCTTCAGTTTAGCATTTTTTTTTTCTTCCATCATTCAATAGTTGAACATTAGAACAAGGAACATCCTTATCAGGAGACAAGATTCTCACACAACTTTGTGAGCAGCTCAGGTACAACCTGTCAGTATATGGCCGCCAGCCACCAGTAGCCCATCCTGGTAGTTTGACTCACACAGCTCCTGACTCTACATCGTGGTTCCAAGAAGAGGCCAGAGACTAGTCACAGGAAACCAACATCCCCATCACCAGAGAGCCACTAGCAAAACCCAGCTTCCCACCCACAGCCTACATGTGAAAGCAGCAAGGGATGTGCTGACAACAGGCTTCACTAGGGTACCCCTACACATCCAGGCCAGAGTGCTGCAAGGGCCTATCCTTGTGTGGTGGTGCCTGGGTGCTGAGACCCAGGCTGAGGTAAGGACCACTTCTCAAAGAATAGGCTTGCCCACCTGCTGACTTCAGTTAAGTGACAACAGGAAACACTTCCTATATCCATGTAGACTCAGCCCAAAGCTGAAGGCTGCTGTCCCCAGGCTGTGAGCTGCCTGATTAAAACATGCAGGGAAAAAACTGCTTTAAGAAGTGATGACCCCAAGGCCAAATGTGTCTGCCTGTCTGGTCTTCCTCTTCTCACCTCTTGCTCCCCTGTTTACACTGAATGCTTGCTGCCTTCAACTCCAATTCCCAGAAATGTTGTTTTAGGTTATTTTTGGTTAGGTTAATTTGTCCATGTGACCCACAGTTCAACTCAGATATTCTCTGACTCACTTTCAGCAGAGCTCCAGTGGGCCTGACATTCACATGTTGCCCTCCCATCCTGTGCAAGGCCTGTAGACTAAGCCAAGGCACTCCCTTCCCTGGCTCTTCCTGTGAGTTCAAATCCTCTCTGAGCAAAGCACCTTACTTTATTTCCCCAAGAAAAGGGCACAGGTTCTACTGTCCAACTAACTGTCCTTCCATCATCATGGCTAACATTTCCAAGACCATCAGAGGTTGCAGTACAGCCCCCAGGGACCCAGTGAGCACCCTCATCTCATTTACCTGGCCCTACACCTCACTCTAGCCCAGCAGACACAAAGTCCCTTCTATGAGACCTTGGCTCTGTGTTCCTTGTCCATATGGCTCCCTCAGTATCTCTCATCTCTATACAACTTCATTGCCAGCAATCAGTGAGACATGGTTTTGTTTTGCTTTTTGTTGTTTCTTCTTCTCCTTTTAGGCTGTTCTGTTCATGGAGGGATCCTCTGCATGTACAACAATGCCTTCCATTTAGAAGCACTAGACATCTGTAAGACATTCAGCTACAGCACCAAGTTCCAATGGCCCCAATGGCACTGATTTCCAGGTGATGCTCTGTATTTCCATCTTGCCTGGCTGTAATCACCAGGGTCTCAGCAGCTCTACTTGGGCACCAACAAGCAATGGCTGCCCACAGATTTGATGTTTAGCACCTGCCAGAAGCCCAGGACATACTCCTCTCTCCTGGGGTTCCAGGAGAGCTCATCTGAGCCCTAGCGCTGGCTGCTGCCTGCTCTGAAGTGCCTTGCTGGAGTGGAGCTTAGGCTACTGGCCCCAAGCAGTATAACCTTAGTTCTTTTTTTTCCCCAGACAGAAATTGTTTCTTTTTAATTGAGTACTTTATTCAGACATTTCCTCTATTGGCTTCTGCTCTGGAAGCAGCTAGGTCTCCACTTCAATATCACTGAATAGATACTGAATATCCACGAACTGGACTGAGTGAATATGGGCCCCAAACCAAGGCTTTCAGAATGGCAAAACAATAAACTGAAAATCAAGCCTCTCGCCGGGTGTTGGTGGCGCACACCTTTAATCCCAGCACTTGGGAGGCAGAAGCAAGCGGATCTCTGTGAGTTCAAGACCACCCTGGTCTACAAGAGCTAGTTCCAAGACAGCCTCCAAAGCCACAGAGAAACCCTGTCTCGGGAAGAAAAAAAGAAAAGAAAATCCAGCCTCTCCCTTCACTTAGGAGGGACTGGAAGTCACAGTGTCCAATCCCACCCTGCAACTGTAGGGACCTTGGAGTCAGGACTGCAAATACAGAAACATGGGTGCCAGGCATTCTTGAACGAGTTTTGGCATTTACTTAATTTCCCAAAGAGGGGTAAAATCTACCAAAAGGGATACAATGGGCCAGCATAAATCAGCTTTCTCATGATAAATTTTCCTGAGTAACAACTTCTGGTTGCTGAGAAACCTCAGCACAGTATTTCAAAGTGGTAAAATCCAGGGCAATCATGGAGTACATTCAGAAGTAACTTAACAATCAAGGACAGGTTTATGCAGGATATAGGTGTAAACAAACCCCCTTTTTTCAGTGTATATGGCAAGCAGCCAAGACCCCTGATCATTAAAATAAGTTATTTTGTACATTACAGTGCACAGAGGGAAAGAGCTTTCACAGAGGTGACC